AGCACATCACACTCGTTCTGTTGCTGCAACAACAAATCCGTCTCTCGCTGCTTCTGCTGCTGCAGCTCCTCAAGCGCTTGCTGCAAAGCCGCCTTCTCAGCTATGTGCTTTTCCAGCAGCACATCACAGTCGTTCTGTTGCTGCTTCTGCTGCTGCAGCTCCTCAAGCGCTTGCTGCAAAGCCGCCTTCTCAGCTATGTGCTTTTCCAGCAGCACACCACACTCGTTCTGTTGCTGCAACAACAAATCCGTCTCTCGCTGCTTCTGCTGCTGCAGCTCCTCAAGCGCTTGCTGCAAAGCTGCCTTCTCAGCTATGTGCTTTTCTAGCAGCACATCACGGTCGTTCTGTTGCTGCAACAACAAATCCGTCTCTCGCTGCTTCTGCTGCTGCAGCTCCTCAAGCGCTTGCTGCAAAGCTGCCTTCTCAGCTATGTGCGTTTCCAGCAGCACACCACAGTCGTTCTGTTGCTGCTTCTGCTGCTGCAGCTCCTCAAGCTTTTTTTGCTGCTCCTGCAGCAGCTTCTCCTGCTCCTGCAGTTGCTCTCTCTGTTGCCGTACTGCCAGTCGAAGCAACTGCTGCTCGTGATCATATGCCGCCTCAGCCGGCGGCTGCGCTGCATGCTCTCCCAGTTGTTGCTGCTCAGCGCCTTGCAGGTTTGCGCAGACTCCCCAGCTCTCTCTCGCCTGCCCCTGCCCTTGCCGATGTTGCTGCAGCTGTTGCTGCAGCAGCTGCAGTGTGCGTTCTAGGTCTTCAGTTTGCTGCTGGAGGCGTTGCTTTTCCTGTGACTCACGCCGCAGCAGCAGCTGCTGCCTTTCTACCAACTGCAGCAAGGCGGCATGGCTATACTGACCAGAAGAGTTCCACGATGCTGCTCCTTGTGAGAAGGGCTCCTCATTTTCTGAAACATGCACATCTTTTGCTCGTTGTTGCTGTTGTTTCTGCTGTTGCTGTTGTCGCTGTTGGTCTTGCTCTTGCTCTTGCTGTTGCTCATCTAAAGCTTCATCTCCGGGCAGCTCATCGTCTCTTAGAACGGAGGACACTAAGGAAGATATCCACATTCTGCCGCGGCTCCCGCAGGCTCTACTGTGCTCGTCCTATCGGTGCAGCACTTCTAGCAGACACGATGTCTGATGCTGCAAATTGCCGAAAGGAGGGGAGAGGGAGGCAGTCCTCCGTTGTTTCCCAGTGCCTCCGTTTTGGTTGCTGCTCTTGTGGCTCTTGCCGCTGCTGCTGCGGCTGCAGAGCCGCTTCCGCCTCCTCCTGCTGCTGCCTTTGCCTTGAGCTCCTTCACTGGTTCGTGCTGCTGGTAATACGGCCGGCTGTAGCCTGTGAGGCTCCCCTACCCTTACTGCTAATCCTCGCAACGCTGCCCCAGCTGTCCGGCTCTGTTGATTCGACGCTGTTCTTGCTGCCTTGCTGCCGCTGTCATTAGTGCGGGTGTTGATGTTCGCTGCCTTGCCTGTTGTTGCTGCCTTGCCTTGCCTGTTGTTGCTGCATGGTAACCAATCATGTGCTGCAGCGTGTGCCCCCGTCTGTGGCTGCTGCAGAGAACTGCTGCTGATGTGTATTCGATATTGAAGGTGCCGAGGGATGCGAGGGGAGTCGCTGCTCCTGCTGCCACTCCACACGCTTGCTGAAGAATCCCATGCCAGCCGGAGCTGCAGTTCGCACACGTGGACTGCGTGCGGCTGCGCGGTGTCTCGCGACAGTCTCTCTCTCTCTCTCTTGCGCCTTCTGCAAAAAATGAGACCGGCTTTTGCTGCTAAATTCCACTGCAGAGAGATCTTTCAGCTTTTTTTGCCCATAGTTTTTTGCTGTTGCTTCCGCCAGCGCAGCAGCAGCAAGGCCCCCCTGTCTCCCGCCGCCGCTCGGCTTCTTCTCGGACGGCAGCCGACAATTGCTGCCAGAGAAGTCATCACACAGAGGGAGACCTTTTAGCGGCTTGCACCTCTACTGTATACCTAGACATATGTATATATCTATTTGCATATATCTCTCTCTCTGTGTCACTTTCTCTCTTGCTGAATGCCGAACTTTGTGAGGCCAAGGAAAAAACCAGTCCCCTCGCTTCCCACGAGCACACGATCACGCAATCACGCGATCACGCCAAGTGTTTTGCGGACACACTGGAGCAGCGCCTCCCTTGTCTCCCCAGTGCCGCGTGGGAAAGCGGGGAAGAAGACTCGACTGCCCCGAGTGAGGCCGACGCTGCAGAGCCGCTATTTTGCTAAACTCGCACAGGACAGACAGGGGAAGGGTATCAGCGCGTAGAGGCAGCAAAAAGCCGCCGACCAACAGCAGGACGTCCACGATGCAGCAAGGGCAGCTACACTGGATCCCAGGCTGCCTTCCCTAAAAAGAAGAATACTCCAGGCAAACTGATGCAGCGGCAGAACGAGCGAGTGCGCAAGAGCCGCAGCAACAAGAGCTCTCTGCCGCTATACACGGCGACAAAATCGCTGGCTGCTCTAAGCAGCGGAGGCGTCGATGCGCCTCTGGCGGCCTCAGGGGCCCCCGAATGCGCTGCTGCTGCATGCGTCGCTTCTGCTGCTGCTGCTCGCGGCGTCCTGTCTTGGCTTTTGCATGCTTCTCGACGCCACGTCGACTAGCAGCCGCCGCAGGCTCCAACCCTCCTTCCTTCACCCCTTGTCAACACGCAGCACGGCTCACGCACAGCCCCCCTGCAGGGGAAGCAGCAACATCTGCAGGAGGCGTAGAGGCAAGTCTACAATAGCCTCTGCATGCCCAATAACCACCCGCGAGCATGGTGGGTGGCGTCTGGAAGAAGCCACCCACCGTGGGGGGAGACGCGGCAGCAGCAACGGCTGTAGCGCAACAGCAGACCCTTTAAAGGCCACAGCAGCAGCAACAACAGACTCGCCGGCAGCTGCGTCCGCTGTCTTTGTAACGTCCCCCCTCTTTTACAGCAATGGTTGTTTGCATTTGGGGCATCTCTACACGACGATTGTTGCAGACACTGCAGCGTCTCTGCTTTCCCTATTCTCAGCCCCCTCAGGTGGTGCAAAAGGTGCAGGTATATCGTCTACGGGGAAGGAGGCGGCAGAGGATTATGTTCTCTTGAGTGGCAGCGATCAGCATGGCGTGAAGGTACTTGAGGCCGCACGTAGATGGTGGTTCCAGCTGTCTCGAGATCAGCAGCGGCAGCTTGCTGCTGCGCATATGGCTGCATCCGGAGCTACCGGTGTCGCTACGGCAGACGACGAAGCAGCACCAGCATCACGAGCTTGTGCTGCTGCAGCTGCCACTGCGGCAGGACAGGGCAAAAGCATCAGTATCCCCTGCTGTGTGCCCGTCAAATGGTATGTGTCTTTGCTATCACAGCATGCACAGCAGCTGCTGCAGCAAGCGCACATCCGTTGCTCTGCCTTTGTAGAGACAGCCGCAACAACTGAAGTCTGCTGCACGTACACCCCAGATCCTGCGCTCTTGCTGCACCCGTTCCAAAACGCAATGCAGCAGAAGCAGCAGAAGCAGAAGCAGAAGCAGCTGTCCCACCAGAAGGGGGAGCAGCAAGCACTACCACCCCATGCTGCTGTAGTTGCCTCTCTGTGGCGAGCGCTAGAGGCTCGGGGATTCATATATAAGGCCTCTGTGCAGCCTTCGCCGGTACAAAACGAGTCATCAGGGGGTGGGGGGGGAGAAGAGGAAGCTGATGTATGGGATGTACCCCTGCAGCAGGAGCAGGAGCAGCAGCAAGAGCAGCCGCAGCAGCAAGAGCAGCAGCAGCAGGAGCAGCAGCCAAACGAACTAGGCGAGAGCTACGGATATTTTTTTGCTTTGAAGCGACTTCGACCTGCTATCGAAAGGTGAGACAGCGGCGGGGACAGCTAGGCAGGACCGGGTACACCATGCTTCGCTGCTTACAGCACTGACGTTACTGCACCTGTGCTGCTCTCCATCGCTTGTTGCGGATATCTGCTTATCCTGTTCCTGCTGCAGGTGGCTGCGGCAGCAGCCCCAGTGGTTGCTGCCGAGGGGGCAGCAACGGGAGCTCTTGCAGTTTTTGCCGCGCATACGAGATATCGAAGTGTCTAGACACCGCGATCTAGTAAGAATTGCCAAGGTGCTTTGCAGGTGCAACAGTGACGACGACATCAGCAGCAGTTGCAGCGGCAATCCTGACAGTGGAGTGCGTCTGACACCTTGTGATTGTGTTTGGGGTGTGCCCGTACCGGGAGATTCTTCTCGCGTTGTCTACGTCTGGTTCGACGCCTTGTGTGGCTACCTAAGGCCCGCATGCAGCAGAACAAGCCATCACAGGATCTGGTAAACTCGGCTGAGGCGAAGCCGCGGTATAAAAATGCTGCTATTTCCCCTTAAGTGTGCGTGCTCTGCTGCGTTGCAGTCAGAAACCCTTTGTCTGCAATGGGAATAAGCTGCTGCTGGTGCTGCGCCCTCTGCTGCTTCCTTTCAGGCCTCCCCGGTTGCAGATCTTTGGCAGAGACATATCGCGATTCCACGCCGTTCTGTTTTTGGGGCTTCTGCTGGCTTTGCGGCATCCTGTCCTCAGCGACAACAGACGCGCACATGGCAACAGCACGCAGGATGACAATGTGCTTCCTACTGAGCTGCTGCAGCAGCTGCCGCTGCAGCAGCTGGCTCATGGGTGGCTCCTCAGGCCTTCAGGGTCCAAGGTAGCCAAGTCGACGGCTGCTCCCGCTGCAGCTGTCGGCGGTGTCACTGTTGGTGGTGATGGTGACGATGTACTGGGGGCTCCCGATAGATCTGCTTCAGCAGCAGCAGCAGCTACACCTGCAGCAGCGGCGCTTGGCCTTGCCGATTGGAGCGACTTCTTGGGCTCTAGCATGTCTGCCGATGCTGCTGCAGCGGCAGCAGCTTTGCATACTCTTAAAGCTGACCGGGTACTCCAGATTGCGGGAGGGCGACTGCTACTTTTTCTACTCCATTCTATTACGGAAGAACGGGAGGGCAGTAGTAGGCCTAAGGGAGCAACCCGAGCCCCCCCTTTTTTGAAAACAGTCTCCTTGACGTGCCTGTTTGTGTGTGGCGGTTGCAGCTGCGTTTCGCATTGCTGCACTGCAAATCATTCGAAAGAGATCTGAGGCTCTCCGCGCGCAGTGGCACCAGCAGGGATCCTCTTGTCGCCTCTGCCTTTGTACTCGAACAACAGATCGGCAACTTTGCTCACAGGGTGTTGTCCTTGCTGCAGCAGCAACATCGGGGGAGGGCTCCTTCGCCTCCTCCACTTCTCCTTGCAGCAGCAACCCACCCACACATCTGCAAGGAGGCTCTGGCAGCTGCAGCGACTGCATGGGACTCGGAACGAGCAGCGGATGCAGCAGAATCGCTCCTCGCCTCAGAAGTGCCAGCGGTCAATTCTCTTCAGTACACTTTGGTAGAGTCGCTGTGGGGTCCCTGGCTGCCCTTAAGAAATATCCCGGCACAAGCTGTGAAGACCATGGAGGAGGCACTCGACGCGTTGTTTGAGCCTGCAGCGGGTTTGAACCAGCAGCAGCAGCAGCAGCAGCAGCAGCAGCAGCCACAGCAGCAAGAGACGGGTGACGAGGCATTGCGACAACTCGTATTAGGCGCAGCAACGGAAGCCATTGATGCCGAGCGAGTCGCTACAGCAGCGGCACACCGCCTAGTAGAGATTGCGGGAATCTCCGTGTTTCAGAATTCACCACAGCAAGTGCAGCCGAGAGAGCAGCAGTTGAACACAGCTGTCCTCTCAAAGCAAACAAGCCCTCCAGCCGCGGTAACCCCCCCCCGGGAGCTACCGGCTATCAGCTTAACAGCTTCAGCATCAGCAGCTACAAAAGCACCGCATGCCGGCGTGTCCTCGGCTTTGCTATTTCTCTCTTGCTGGCGCCTGCTGCGCGCTTCATTTCTGCTGCCTGTGTTACTGCGGGCAACCGCACAGCAGCAGTTACTACATAGATACACTCGAGGTGTTATTTCTGCTGCAGGAGCAGCCCAGCGGCTCTTTGAGATAGCGGTGCGCTTTGCGGCGAAGCAAATGCTGGGATGCAGGTGTTGTTGCTGCTGACAGACATTGGGGCAACTTGAAACGTGTACTGGGGGAGTTGTTTGAAGTGCTGAATGTGCTACTGCAAGAGCGAGGTACGTCTGCTTGGCGCTTGTCATTGCATTTGTTTCAGGCTCCCTGGAAAAACAGTGACACCAGTTCCTGCGTCATGTCTCCTATGCTCGAGCTGTTGCGGCGTCTCTCCCTGCTACTGCTTCCCGTTTGTCCTGGGGTTTCCAAGCAGCTGCAGCAGCAGCTCAACCTGGAGCAGCAGAAACTGAACCAGCAACGAGACCAATCGCTGCACCAACAGCAAAACACCCTTCGCTCCACTTTAGCATGGGGCTGTGTTGGCATGGGAGGCCACAGTCTTCCCAAGCCCTTTCCCTTGTTACCCCAGACAGGTCCACTCTGCCTCGAGCAAGACAGCCAGGTATCTAGCTGCTAAAGCAGCCATATAGCCTTCATTGCTGGGTGACTATTGCTGTCAACGCAACGCCAGTTTGCAGCCAGTGCGCATGATCAGTCTGTCAGCACTCAGGCAGCGGGTCATTGGTGCTGTTAGCCTCGCGCGTGAAGAGAAGCTGGCCAGATAGTAAACGTATAGGATTTGGGGTTGCAGCTATAGCGAGCGGTACATCTACTAGGCTAAGGAGTTTTCTGGGAGGCAGGACTCTATTTTATTGAACGGAAGAAGAGCAGATAGTGTCCAGCCAGAAGGGGAATCAAGGCAGCAGAGGGAGAGGGAAGGAAGAAGACAGGCACATGGTAAGTGTGCACCACGCTGCTCGTTTTCCAAAAACTCTCAATTTCGCTTTTAAGCTGCTAATTGCGCACCACTGCCACGAAGAGAACCTAACACGGAGTAGGGAGTCGCCCGAGCATTTGTAATATTCCGTTGGGACCTCCGTCGGAGACCACAACTTGTAGAACGAATTTTGCATAAAGGAGCTGCTCCTGTATGCAAGAACAGCTATTTCCTTCCCCTGCCCTGTACCCACTTACCTGTGGGCTCATCAGTGAAGGGGCGACAGTGTAAACTCAGCTTGCTGCACCTTCACAACGTTCCAAGCAATCGCCGCTCAGCAATGCGGGCCTACTTACATTTTGTCGCTTCTTACCAGGGTTGATATGAATCAAGAATAAGAAAAGCATTGACCGTCAATTCGCCATTGGTGAACGCTGTTTGTTGCAGTGCAGAGTTACTCCGCACAGTAGAAATCAATTCTGTGTGCCTGGGTACTAGATGCTATGCACGACTGCATACGTGTGCTTGGAATGCACAGTGCGTACGGCAAAGCGCACGGCAACTGTCCCACACCTCTCACATCGCTGCCCAATGGGGAAGCGCAAGGATTGAGGGGCTCTGGTGAGGAGACACCCTGGCGCTTTCCGTCAAGAATTGCATTGGGCTTAGGCATAGATGTTTTCTCGCTCTAAAAGCTCTAGTTGGAGCGCTACTTTCGACCCTTCAGCGTATACAGCTCTACATGGTTCCACAGATGAAAGCACAGTATGATCCAACTCATGCATACAAAGCATGTAACACCATAATGAAGCATACACTGGTCCATAGGGGTCAGGGTTTTTCAGTAACTATTCCGGCTACAACATGCAGGAAAACAGCTGGAAGTTAGAGCTGCTACTGCCGTTCCTATTCCCTATCCTTGGGCATAAAAATAGTGACAGCGCGAGCACCAACTCTGGCTCATTAAACAGGTCGAGTGTGAGTATTGATTGGTCTCGAGGGGAGTAACGATGTGCCCGAGTCCTCGAGCACAAGTGGGGAGAGAGTCCGCTGAGATGCTGCTTTCCGAACGGAAACTGGGAGAACAGCGCAATAAAATTTTGCTGCGCCCAAACCCAAGACCGACCTTTTCCGTATTGCACACCATTTATGTGCGTATGAAGGAGCCTTAGTGGCCAGACCTGTTGTCCTTGCCAGCCAGGTATTATTTTGCCCGCCTGCCAGTTAGGTCACTAGGGCAAGAACTGAAGTTACAACTCTAGCAGCAACATCATCGTGATCTACATGGAAAACCAAAAGTTATCCGTTTGCCACCTTAAAATAATCCATTAAATCACACTTTGATGTCGGATATGAAGTTCCACGACGGCCACTCGTGCAGCTGCAGCACTGTAGGAGCAGCACCGATTCGCTGTAAACAAGCGGTGAAATCAACGTCCTAAAGGAAGCCAGTAAGAGAAGAATTGCCCAATTTTTATATATTTCAATAGAACGTATAGGCCAGCAGCAGCAACAACAGCAAGGCGAGTCGCTCCGTCTCTGTGTGGCGCACTGCCGCCGAGTGCCGCCCTGGTCCGGTGTTGTATCCTGCCAGCAGTTTTTCTTCCTTTCCTTCCTCCTACTTACGTTAATCGATATAGCAGACAAAGGAAAGGGAATTTCGAGGGCGTAATTCTGTTTGTGATAGACAGAAGCACATTCCAAGATTTGCCCGTCCATTTATCACCCACAATACACACGAGCAGCTATCGCACAGCCTCTAGTGTAACTGTGGGTTTTGTGGTTTTGCTCAGCCTTCTTGTTTTCTTTTGGAATTTCTGAAGGTATTTACTTCTTTTCTTTGTACTGCTTGCAACCATGGCACCTGCCGTGTCTCGGCTGCTCTACGCTGCTACCGCGTTCGCAGTGCTGCTGCTTGCGGATCAGTACCTCAGCAGCAGTGGCACAGTATCAGCCGCAGCTGCGGCTGATAATGATGCAGATGCTTCCATGGTGGATTTGCACCCGGAAGATACAACCTCTGGCGTAGGCTGGGAGGACAGCAGGACTCATCCTGAGGCAGACCCCGTTGAGAAGCCTCGTGAGGTGGATGAGCACTCCACTGGGGAGGAAGCCACTGACGAAGACGACGAGCATCAGGTGACAGCGGATACAGCCGGGACAGGACCCCAACAAGAGGCAGTGCACGATGAGGCTTTCGTACCCCCAGTAGACGCGCAGCAGCAGGTGCTGGATCACCAAGGCGATGCACAAGAATTTGAAGACCTACATCATCCAATGCAACCTCATGGTCATCAGGGCCACCTGTCTGACCATCAGGGAGATGAGGATGCTGAAGACAAGCCGATTCACGCTCAGCAACAACCAGACTCTCAAGAACAGCAGGAGCCTACTGTTGCACCACAGGAGCCAGCGCCCCCTGCCAGTGCAAGTTCGGCGTCCAGCGTGCAGCAACAGCAGCAGCCTAGCTCGGAAACCCCTGCAGCAGTCCCCGAAGAACAACAAGAGCAGCCGCAACAGGAGACGACTCATTTAATACCCTCAGTTCCACCCCAGGAGCAGCAACATAGTCCTCAGGAGCAAGGGCAAGGGAACACCGATCAGTCCTTTGCATCCCAGCAACAGCTGCAACAGAGTCAGGACGCAGCAGCACCGGATCCCAGGCTGGGCCGGTGTAGCTCTGAGGAGCTGTCTGCCCTTGCGCGTCACTTTGAGGACGGCACCGCATGCCCTGCATATGCATGCATCGATGCAGAGAACAGCAACTACTTGGCCTTGCTGGAAAAGCATTACGGGGATCAGTACACTCCGGCAGAGCTCGCCACCTTTGCTAGGGTTTTTGCAGCCTGCCACTGCCGCTGCCCCATCATGCTCTGCGAGGTCGAATACGTAAACCAAAACGGCAGCGACAGCTGCAAAACTGCTACCAAAGAACTCTGTCTACAAACTAACAGCAGCCTCAGCCATAAATGTGCAAACGTAGCTATGCAGTTCCCCAAGGTCTATGATATTGACGCCGATCCACATGCATTCAAAAGTCCGTGCCAACACTGCGAGTAAGTGGCTGTGCCGGCTGCTGCTGTTTGCTGCTTCTGTTATTGCTGGTGTTGCTACCCTTGGTGCCCCAAAGGCTTTAGTCACCATGATGTACCCGGCGTGCCTCAACTAGCCGCGAGATTACTGCAATTGGCTTATTTTACATGGTGGTGGGCAGATGTGTGTCGGTTTTCTGGCTTATCTTTGCAGAAGCGAATTCCCCGGGAATCCATCACAAGTAGCTATCGACGATCAAGGAAATACCACCGTACTCAGTAGTACAGCAGCTGTTGGCCCTGTCGCCGCGGTTGTATCTGCAGCTGTTATGGCTGCTTTCATCCTCTAACTCAATCAGCTGTTACCTGCTGTGTCAGCAGCTGAGGACATCATGCATGCGCTGTACCCTTTCGTTAAAGGCCTTATACTAGACAGCAAGGCAAGATGAAGCCTGGAGTTGCTGCTATTTAATTACGCACTTGTTACATTGCGCCTCAGAGGCCTCAAACCCCTTGGCCCCTAAGGCCCCCAAAACCTAAGGGGATGATGAGTGATAACCAACCAGACCAATATGTTTTACTTACTAGGGCATTGCAAAAACACGGAACTGCAAAGCCGCTTCCCCACATTCTAAAATGCCGCCCCCACTACCATAACTACAGCCTATGTCTGTTACAATGACGACCAGGCACCTACACTGGCATCATTCCTTCTAAAAGGTTGCGATAAGGCCGATAATTCCAAGGAAAGTTGGGCTAATTGCCTATAGGACAGTTAAGGGGACGGCAATTGACTGTTTCGGCTATAATCTGTGAAGCAGTGCACACTTTGAATCTCGCAGTACGGGATCGTTGCTGCAGTACCGCTCTATAAACGCTTCCAGTGGTTGCTGTTGCCACTGCAATACAACAAATATATTGCTTCATCATTGCAAATATACGACGAACTCGGTGGGAAAGTTTTAGGTGCAACTTTAAGTGTAAAAGCGCTTGGGACGGAGACGGGGAGAGCAAGCCCGGGAGTCCTACTTTTACAGGTATTCAAGTTGCATATCGAGATGCGGTATAATGCGTGTTTAGGTTTGCTCTGTTCTGTCTGTTCGCAACGATTGTGCCACTGGAGCAACGGCAACGTGGTCCTTTCGAACCACTTTTAGCGCCACTGGACTACGTAGCCGTACAAACCAAGGCGGTGGCAAATTGGCATGTGGACAAAACCTCCATTCCTTATAATGTAATCGCATATATTTTGTGGGCATAGTGTAATTAAGCGGCTTAGGAGTGCATGGCTCCTCGCTTACATGCCACTGCCCAGGGTAGCTCGATATGCAGCGCTTTTGCTCTATCCAACACCTTATTTACATCATTCCTTGTGGTTCTTTCATCTCTAAAAGTGTGTACCACTCGCTGTTTCCTACCATTGCAGTTAACGAACTTGATTAACACCTTGATCTTGCAAGAAGACGACGCTGCAGCCGGAGGAATCAACAGAAGCGCACGCCGGGCTACCGCTTGGCGAGGAGAGTAGCGTGTGGTACAGCTCCCCTCAACATGTTTGAATTTGCATTATTTTGATATTTTGCTTAGCTTCTTAAGCTATACCACTCTAAACCAGCGGAGGGGATTTAACAATTCTAACCAGGAGCACACCTGGGTTTTGCTGGACCAGGCATCACACACGGTTCCGTGTGTGTTCTGGTAACATTGCTGTGCCTTCTGTTGTTTTCCTCTGCACCGCTGTTTTACATCTTCTGATAGAATAATGGGTTCTAAGAAGGATTCTATTCGGCTGTCGACGTACGACGAGCTGTTCAACACAACACCGAAACCGTCAGCGTCGACATTGAAGAAGTTGAGGAGCGTAAAGCACGCAGGGAAAGGCTCTGAGCTGGTTGCAGCACTGCGGCGCCAGCGGGTTGTCGTCGATGAACGTGCGATTCACTTTGTTGCAGAGGCCAGGGCTGGGAAAAGAGCTGATGCAAGAAATTCTGTATTTAAATTAGCACAGAAATATCGCGTGCTCCCGGACAGCGAACACGTTCAGAGGATCAAACAGTTGTACGGAAAGGTCAAGGAGAATGAAGACTCTGGTGATGAAGAGTGGGATAAAGCTTCAGCCAAGCTACCAGGGAAACTCGAGCTGGCGGCGTTTCTGAAGCTGTTGCATAAAGACGACGCTCATGAGCACCTGCTAGATGAAATGGAAGAAATAAACCAAGAAACAGCTGATCTACCCAGCGACGTGGTCACTCAAGAGGAAATAACGGACACAAGCACAATCACTGAGCTTGATATGATCATGCATGAGACCGAGAAAAAGATCGACGAAGAAGAGGAGGAAGAAGCTGGAAGTGAAGACAGCGATGTAGAATTCGATGAAGAAGACCTTAAAAGTCAGATATCAACTCCAAATATCACAAATATATACAGTCTTTAAAGTTACATATAAAATGCATACATATGCACTGTTTTGTTTATTAGTGTGCATGTACCTGTAGTATGGTACACGGCGAATGCCCAACGTGTATGCACGGTTGCTACAGACAGAATGTGTGTATGCGTAGCTGTGCATGTAGATAAAGGCATATACACAGAGCGTATATTGTCGTATCTGATTGCACGTTCTCCTGTTCTGATCGTATCAGACTTGCTTTTTTATAAATGTGCATGTGATAGCTCGTCTCACACGAGATATCGATTGTTAGTATGCAAGGTTGCTGCATCTATGTCTGCACTGTTTATTGCGTCATATATTTCATGCGCTGTACTCGTATATGACTTCTTTGCAGCTCAATCATCCTGTTTTTGTCGCTCCTTTGTCTTTTGTGCGCTTTCCGTACTCTTTAATGCAGCCCTTAATTCGATGCAGCGTGAGTTTGTCGGCAACAATTTGTTCCAATGGTTCAAGGAAATACAAAAAGCTTATGAAAGCGGCGTCAAGCTTGTCAAAGTCAACCGCATGGGATACAAGTTCATTCGTATTGTAACCATAAAAGACATGGTGCGCCCCTTGGCATTAATCCATACTTCAGGCTAAGGCGTATCTCCATCGCGTTGCAACTCTTCCATGAATGTGCTTTGCAACGTATCGTTTAGTTTTCGTCCTTTTGCGTCATTCCCTCCCCTCAGCTTCTCGCGATCCACCAGCCCTACACACAGTCTCAAGTAAAAGTCGATCGGCAAGTAGCTCTCCACTCTATCGTTTCCGTACACCTGGGAAAGGAATCCAAGGAGTTTGATGCCATCGAGGAGCTCGTCAAATCAAATCAAGAAGCTGCAGAATTCAAGTATGTTGCACGCAGCCCCAGTATGGTGTGTCGCCTCTTCTGTTTCAAGCTATGATGGGATGCATACTGGAAGCGAGACGGCAATGCAGTGTGCCACATGTCGTAACACCAGATATTTCAAGAAGGCGGTACTTAGTGGGCTGTCCAATAGAACACACCTTCTCTTTCTCTTCAAACTCATGCCTTGTCAGCGTCCGCTGCGGCTGTGGAACTATGTGGGGTAGAGTTGGCCTTGTCAAAGGGTTTCATATACGTTGGCACTTTGGTTGCATTGTGTGGTATGTCTACAGCCCTAAGGGAACGGTCTGCTGCGTCGTGAGGCTTCCGAAGAACAGGAGCCTCTCACTTGTCTTCTTGTGAGCCTTCAGCTGTCTTTTTTTCCTTTCCTCACCTTCATTATCAGCCCTCTGCGATACCGTAGGTCTAAGGACGCCAAGTCCCCTTGGTTGTATGTCTTGTGTTTTCCTCTTCGTTTCCTGTGCCTCTTGCGGACATGCACCCACTGTCTTTGCTGCTGTGCGTGCCAGGGATGAGGATAACAGGAACGGCTTCGTATTCTTCATCAGAGTACTGATAAAGAAGGCACGCGCTGCTTTGCAGCAACTCGAGAAGCAAGCTGCCAAGTGAAACAAAAAGTGGCGTGGCCTCACATAGGCTCCCGTCCTAGCTGTTTCTTTCCTGCTGGCTCGCCATTGCTTCACAGCAACAGGGGCCAGCTGTAGCGACTGACATGCATCACATGATGCTGGAGATGGACTACAAATCGTCATGGTGTGCCATTGCACATCTTCAAGGTATACATGTGAAACGATGTGCTCAAATTCTCGCACGCACAAACGCTCTGTACCTTCCTCCTGTTTGTCAGCCGAATTATGGGACCGCATCAATGTACGCAGTTGCATGTGCATTTATATTTGCGGGTGTTGCTAGTTGCATAGCGTGAGTAGGGAAATAGAGCTCTCTCTGGGTCTCCCCTGCTATGGCATCTCCCTGCTTAGCTAGAACAATATGTAGAAGGGAACAAAATGCACAAACGGTCCACCTTTACTATTAATAGCTGCTGCCCTCTCTCTTCTAGGCTTTGTTTCGCATCTTCGATCACCATATTCTCAGTCCGTTTCTACCTACTACTTCATTCCTACTCATTTGTTATATGTATTCCTCTCTCCCTTTCCTTCCTCACGTATCAATAACCAAAACTGCCGCAGCTATTGATCAGGAAACGTTGAAAGGCAAAGTAGATTTCTTTCCCCTCTACCTGGAATGCTCCATCTGAGATCTCCGTAGGGAGACACCGGACACTTAACTCAAACAAACAAAATAGTTTCTGTTTTCCAAAAGAAGTCTCTGCTTCCCCTGCCCGCGCCTCTCAAAGGTCCCAATACCAGGAGGGAGGGAAAGTTAGGTCACACATGGGCGTCCAATAACCGTTTTCAAATCTACAGTTCGTTGCACAGAGCGTCAAGCGCACAAGTACAGAGCGTTGCTTCTTATTGTACCGATTCGAGAATTCTCCGCATAAACAAGGAACATCGACAGCCGAACAGGTACAAAAATTCTTCGCCAACTCCCAGCTAGATCTAGGTCTAGTGTTAGAAAGTGAAGCTTAGCCCACTACACCATCACCCGATTCGAGGAACCGTGGAGTTACTAAGCCACATTACAGTGCTCTGAGGGACTCCATTTTCCCCACTTCTAAGCTACTCTTCGTTGTGCATGCATACTGTGCAAGGTCAAACGCAGCACTCAGCCTTAATTGGGAACCAGCTTACAAGCGTCGGGCAGTGGCAGGATCTGGGAGCCTACGCGCAAAATCAATGAGAGCCTTTGCTGCGTAGGTATAGTGAGGTTTTGTGGTAGGAGGACGTCATCAGTAGGGTGTGAGAATCCATCATACACTTTACGCCAAGCACCACTCCAAAATGTATACAACAGCCTCCGATGCCCTCCCGTGAATTCCTAGAGACATTCTGGACTTAAGTCTCTAAATAACACGTTTCGAGGACCCCTGAAGGTTTCATGGAGCCCTGTGCTACGTGAATGGGCATTGCCTTAGAACTTCGTGTCTAGACTCCTGACACAAGGTGTAGAGAATCCAGTGACTTGTTTGCGCTTATGACCGATAAATTATGCATCTTGTCTAGTTGTAGCGCATTGGCTTCAAGCCCTTGCAGGTCCCAATAACGTGGTGGCCCTTAGTCTAATTGCCTCAGTGCGAGACGAGCAACAGCAGACGGAATGGTCTAAGCCCTTTCATGGGACCTTTTCAAGGAAGGCAATCTCGGTAGATCGGCGAAGCTCGACCATCTGAATACACTGGTGAAGGTAAGCTCCAACAAAATTTCCATCGTTCCTCTATGCAGAAATCAATGCATAGCGTAGCACGGCATGAGCGGGGTCTGACATCCAGCCTGACAACCCGCGTGCAAGCAGCCTCTTCACTGTCTACTTCCTGGATGCGTGTAATTTGCCCCCATTCTCCTGTAAGTAACTAATCTACAGCACAATGGTTCCCACTACGAGATGGTGCTCGTACTCCGCCGTCTAGAGCCACTCTCGTAAGCCCCATCCTGTACATGTGGGCGCCTGTCGATTTTGGTCACCAGCAGCAAAAATGATGCACCAGTGTTCATGAAAAGGGCACACACGGGACGGATGGGGAAAACAGAGAGGAGTAGCAACTGCGGTCTCTCTGCCTCTCCATTTCAGCTCCCATGGGGTCCCGCTAGTCACGCACACGCCCACCCCACTTCGGCGCTCAGAGTGGCTGCTGCTGCTAACGCCTTCCTGTAAGCCCTAAATGCTCTACCTCGGGAGCGGAGCTCCTGTAGGCTAATCCACGGGAGCCCTTCTAGATTCTTGGGCCCCCATGCAAGGTGCCTTGGGGCGTCCTGAGGTTATTTAGGAGTTCTCTGCATCTGTGTAGCCCATTAGGAGAGCGCTAGTGGTCCAAGGAGGTTCACGGGGTCACCAGGAGAGCCCTTGTACCCCTTCTCTACGCAAAACTGGCCTGTTTTGGGTTGTCTTTACCTTCCGTACTTCTGGAACTCCCACTCGGCATTGTCCAGCGGGCAGACTTGGCGGGTCTTGAGCCATCTGGAGATGCAGTGGAAGTGAAATGCATGGTTGCACACGCCCCAGGCAACTGTGCACTCCTCGGAGTTCGCGTTGCTCTGATTCACAACCCGCACACGACGAAAAAGAGCCGAAATTCAGGCTAAGAGAGACCCCGGGCACGAGGAGAGATCAGGGCTTGGGGTTTTCTCGAAAACTGCCCTTGGGCTGCAGTGTTTTTTCCACGGGCAGTACAGAGCTAGCACTCTTGGGATGCATTATAGGGAGATAATAATGGGCTTGGAGTTCAGGGTCGAAGACAGCCGCTACTTATGATATGCGTGCTTGGATTTGGGGTTTCAAATCTGGAATCTACTAGGATTTATGGTTTCGGCTTGTCCCTGGTAAGCCTGTTGTGTGCTAAGAAAATTCACAGTGTAGGTGACGACTACTGTCTCATGCAATGGGTTAGTAGTGTCCGCTGCACCTGGTTGGCTTGGCATTCAATACAGAGATCCATGATGTGGTTTCTGCAGATGGCGCAATTATCAACAACGATATCCCAGGCCCAAAGTGCCACGGCACTCCATTTCTTCACCTCGAATCGCTTCTCTGGCACTGACACACTGCTGCTGCTGCTGCTACTGCTGCTAATGCTGCTGCTGTCGGGGGCTCCCACGGATGGTCCTGAAGACGGCGGACTCGTTGGGGGAGGCCCTGTCTCTACCCCCTCCATTTCCATCGTTAAGAGACAGAGAGTGGACGGGTGAGCAGGCAGGGATGCTTACTGGCAGTGTGGTCCTGATGGGGTGGTGTTTCTGCCAGGTGCTGTCGTTTGTGCCAATACCGGTGCTCAAGGCTTCTGCTCAGACGCTCCTGCGGATCTCCTCTCTGACATAATAGACAACCAGCACTTTAACAAGGCCGGAGGCTGCAGGGAGCCGATTACTCAAGCTAGTGATGCTGCTCTAGCCGCTGCCAGCGCTTCTGCTGCTGAGCCGCCTGGAAACGGTCTGTGGGCACACCAAGGGGGGGCGTGTGGGTACTTTATTTTGCTTGTCTGCTCACTGAGTGCGGAGCACCTGGGGGCTGGAGGTCGTTTGGAGCAGCACCTCTGTCAGCCGGGTAGTCCCCACTCTCTTGTCTCTGTTCACCCCTCCCGAAAATAAATCAAAGAGGAAGAAACAGATACACACTGGAAAATTGGAGACGTGAAACTGGCAATACGGGTGGCACTTCTGCGACCGCAGCAGGCTGCCGCTGCCAGCACTGCTGCGCTTGCGGCCGCTGCAGCACATGCAGCGGTTACAGAAGAACGGATGTACAGAGTGTTGCTCCTTTTCTATCTGTTTTGCAAATCCGTGTGCGTGCTGCTTGTCTCTATCCCCCGCTTTAGGGCCCTTCGGCCCCCTACATAGGGGCCTCTCCCACAGAGCGGTTGAGCGCTTGGCGAATGTCGCTGTAGCATAACTACGGACTTACTCCAACGGGGATATTAGCTGAAGTAGCAAACCCAGACTCTGGTGAAGGAGGAATGGCTTTCGGTCTTGAAGACTGGTGCGCCAGCTGAGAGGACTTGGGTCGCTGTTGCCGCGGCTATGGTTTTGCAGAGGACTGCTGCAGTAGTGGAGCAAAAGACTTGCTGCTCCCGAGAAACAAGGGAAGGTTCAGCAAATTTCCGGGGAGAAGGAGTGGTAGAGGGGCTCATAGGCGAACAGAAAGTGATAGATGGGACCTGGTGATCGATGCTCGAACGCGTGATATCAGCAGGAACAGCACGAGATGGCGGCCCGTAACCCTGGCCCTGTATTAAATCCTCCTCCCGCAGGGTTTCCTTCTTTTAATCAGCGAGTGCAGCGTGACATTTTGTCGCGAATTGCCTTCGATACTCACGAAGTGAACGGTAGAGTCTACCGAAACGTGTATGAGAACCTTGGCTTCAAGGGGCCTGTACCAATAATGCACAAAGTGAGGAATGGGGAGGAGGGGGGATGGAGCCCGTTTTTTTTGAACCAGAGGAGCTGTTGATGCAGTTGTTGCTTGCCTCCTTAGCTTTCTCTGCCTTGAAAATGCATGGGGATTTGCAGCTTATAGAAGAAAATTCGTGACTCCTCTGGGGATTGTGGCTTGTGATGTATGCTCTGTGTGCAGGTGGGCATAGGGCGCATTCGAATGCGCTGCATGATGGGTGGTTACAGTCGGGGTGTATTTCGTTTTACTCGGTTGGCCAGGATGGGCATGATGCAGCTGGCGCGGGAGGGCTGGCTCAAGCGATACGGCTACAGACCCCACCTTTTCCGATAGTAGATGTAGAGCGTGGTATAGCCGCTCTACAATTTTCAAAGCATCATTGAGATGCACTGAAAAACTATTGGGCATATGCCCTATTCCATACCTTGCGGGAAGGCGGCTGTAGAGGATGGGAGGGTTGAACTGCGCATAGCAAAAAAGTGAGGGCGGTACCAAGTGCAAGGAAGAAGGTAGGCCTAAGAATTTATAGGAGGCGTCGTCCGCTTCATCGAGCCTTGTTGGGGTTGACAGAGAGCTCGGACTCCGTGCTTGTTATTCCTTGTTCCCTACTTCGGCGGAACTGCCTACACCCTGAACTGCAGGTAACTCTCTGTATGCCTAATAGCACATTGGCCTCGGTTTCGTGTGGCTTCAGTGCTTGTTCATCAATTTCATGCTAAAGAGAAAATCAGCAAGTATCAGTAGATGCTCAGAATGAGGTCAAATCCTCCAGGTGATTATTCTGTTTCCAATGGTCCGCAGAAACACCTCCGCTTAAGGGGCATCACTGCAGGCTTGGTGGCAGACGGTTGCTACAATCTGTTGAGAAGATACAGCTTGGAGCATATTTTAGGCATGCGAGGCTGGGAATAACGGCTCCAAAAACACTTGCTAGGCAAGCACCAGTTACCAAGCAAAGCCGGAGCTGCCGGCAAACGGCGAAGAGCGTCGATGGTAGTCAAGCAGGAGTCAGAGAAGAGTCAAAAAATAGGGAGAATTGAGACACTCGCAATATGCAAGGGCTTGAGTTTGGTCGTTCATTGTACATCTTTTTCCCTAAACAAGTGCCTGAATGTGAGTATGGATAATGCCGGGAGTTCAGGCTCCACCAGAAAGGGCATTGTAGAAGGTACTAAAACGGCAGAAAACCTGCGTCAGTGCGTGCCTTGCTTTGATAAGGCAGCCTAAATCAAAGTTAACCTCGCACGTAGCCCCAGAATTTCGAGGTCTTTTCCTGAGTGACCCTGAACCTTCTGCTCGCTTGATGGGTTCCGTTTGACGAGAAACCAAGGCGAAAGTTTCCAGCAAGCTCATAAAGTGAGCGTTAAATTCCTACATTCCTGCATCGATAAATCGCTCTATCCGTTCTGCTAACTGGTTGCTTGAGTCGGGCCCTTGTTAGGCTAGTCGAGCCAGCCCCTTGGGGATACAAGGGCCATCGGAGAGCCGCAGGAGACCTCCCGCTCCCCATCCAGGCATTCGCTAAATTCAGTACAAAGTAGAGGTTCTAGTTCCGGAGTTATCGTTAGTGTTTCGCACAGACACTAAGGCAGACTGCCGCAAAACCCCGATCACAAAGCCCCTGGAGGAAGGCACAACGTCAAATTCTCTAAAGAAGCATGATTTTCGAATTCAGAAACTAACGCTCAAAAAAACGGTTTTCAGGCTAAATTTACATTCCGATGGAGCCCTCAGAGCTCCCCTCTTCAGATCTACACCCACTCTGTCTGCTGCTTTCCTGTGCCCGAGGAATAGAAGAGCAACTCATCTACTGCTCATACAAAGTGCCCATAGCGGATATCGTAGCTCTCCACGCGCCTAGAAAAGGACCAGGCACTGTATCAGAAACGCGGGCTGGGAATGGAGCTCCCTCCCTAGAGCAAAAGGCGGCAGGGGCCTTCACTCTTGCCACAGAGGAGGGGTGCCTACTGAACCCACAAAAAACACTCATTGAATGCGGCATCAAACCACCACAGCAGCATGAACAACGGGAGGTGCAGCAACAGCATCAACTGAGCTGCACGCTGTGCTTGCCTCCGTTTGAAAGCCCCCAAGGAGCCTCAAAGATCCCCAGGCTGTTCCTTACACCTACGCCGATGACGGCACCCCTACGCCTCTCTGTAGTGCAGGCTAAAGACGGGCAGACAGACGTACATGCTACTCTCTTAAGCCCTAGAATTCAGAAAAGCCTTCACCCTATCTTACAGGCACTAAGTGCACACGGCCAAGAACCTAAGGTGCAAGATTACACTCATCTCAACACCTTCCTGCTAGCTAGTGCTAGGCGTACTGCTGCCCCTTTTGCTGCAGATAATTGAAGTAAACGGCTGGGAGAAGGTGGCCTACTTGGAATGCTGGGCTGAGCGGCGTTTCGCCTCTCTCCTTCGAAGTAGTTGTGGTAACAGCAACAACTACCCATGTCCTGTGCTACCCGGAAGTAACGGCAAAGGGTTCGTGCTGATCTTCTTGGGGGTCCCACTAAGCAGCAGCCAAACCCTTCTACAATGCGGGTTGCAGCAGCACGATAGGGTGTACATATACTTCGCTGCTGACGCACCTCCACTACCACTATCTCCCGCTAAATGTGTTAAGGCTGCACCTGAGGCATAGGGTACAGCAAAGCAGTGAAAGCTGCTATAACAGTGCTCTAAACCGTAACTTGTCCTTTATTAGTTTCCTAAGAACCGCAGCAACCACAGCAGCGAGGCAGCAACTACTTGTATTTTTGGCAGCAGCTCTATGTGCAAATAGGGCTGCTCTAAAGCCAGTGAGCAACACACTTGGGCCAATGTGCACTCGAGCCCTCCAAGAGCAGGTCCAGTTGCGGAGGCTGCAGTAGCGCATGCGGGAAGTCCATCCTAGGGAATCTGCTGTTGCTGGCGTGCCAGGACATGCCTCAAGGAGATGCTGCGGGTGAACTGACGCCAAATGGTATTCTCTCGTTAAGGGGGACTTGTTTATTCGACCCTGCCACAAGTACAAAGAAAAGAATATGCCCATTGCAGCACTAGTCTGTTCTAGCGGCTTTGCTGCAACTCGGGCTGCCTGCCTCGACAGCATCTGTGGCGACAGTAGCGCGCTGCTGTTGCGTTCGCATTTGTTTCTGGGCTTGCCGCATTGTCAATACTTGCCGCAATAGCGGCAGGATATGCTCTAGTTGTGTTTGCTTCCAGTGCTGCTTCTGCAGCTGCAGAAGCACCCAGCCGTGTTGCAGCAGGACCCGTTGCTTCAGCAAGGTTTTTGGAGTGCACCGATGAATCTGATGTGCTGTTCCATTAGAGAACTTAAGGTCTTGTAATTCGGATTTCGACCTTAAGAAACAGTGACTCTCTCCATCTATCTCAATGCCTACCTTCTCCTCGGGAAATGCAACGTCCAGTACATAAGGGCCCAGGGCAAATTCCAGATGCGCTTGGCTGCCACACAAGGTCACTTCTGTCGACCCTTCAGCAGCGGCTGCTGCTGCCGCTGCTCGCACTGTTGCTGCTGAGGCCCCAACAGCTGGAGCTGCTGCTAGGGCTGCTCCTGGAAGGGTGACTGTCTCTGCTGATGCTGGAAAGACACCAGACGTCTTGACAAGAAACAGCGCCTCTCTGCTGCTTCTGTCGGCCAGCAGGAGCCGCTGTACTGCCCGTCTCTGGGCCTTTGAAACTCTAACGGCATGCGGCAACCGCAGAACACCGACAGCATCCACCAGCCACTCAACTGCCGTTGGATCTACCGTCAGCTGCTGCTGTTGCACTGGGGAAAGGATCACCTGCACCGTGTCCTGAAGCGGAAATTGGTGCTGCAGCGATGTGCTGCTGCTGTTGCCGCTGTTGTTGCTGTCTCGCTGCTGCGGCGGCGGGGCTGTCAGAAAGAGATGCACTATCTGCAGCTGCCGCAAGGCCCGAAGCCCCAAGGAAGCAAATTCTTCCTGCTGTTTCTGCAGCAGCAGCAGCAGCTGCTCTAGTAACCTGCTGCGCTGCTGTAGCTGCAGCGGAGACAGCGGTGTCTCCGTCACACAGGAGGCGCAAAGCGCGTAGCAGACGTTGACACACTCTCGAGGCCCCAGTTGCTGCTGGTGGTGGTGCTGCTGCAGTTGTTGCTGCTGCTGCAGTTGTTGCTGCTGCTGCAGTTGGCGGGGGATCGCCTCAGTGAAGAGGTGGTCGAGGAAGGGGTGCGAAAAGGCCAACTTGCAAAGGGCAAACGACGAGGCCTGAACACCACAAACCCGAAGTTCTAAAAGCATAATTGGTGGCTTGATAGGCGAGCAGGGGCCTCCTACTCTGTTGCATCCACAAGAATGACTCTCACCGCGAGGTGCTTAGGGCGCATGGCTTGGGAGTTTTGATGGGTGCTGTCGCCACATTGGATGTCGCTCCTCCTGCAGTGTTCTAGCAAGCAGTCGCAGGCAGCCTTCAGCAACTGTTCATGACGTAGCCCTGCTCCTGCTAGTAGTACAAGCAAAGCCACCGCATCCTCCGCTTTGAGGGGCTCAACATATGCTGCCGCTGCTGTCTCATGCTGCTGTTGATGCGGCTGCTGCACGCGTTGCAGCATCTGGTGCTGCTGTTGCTCCAAAATCCGCAGCAGCTGGCGTCTATTCAAAGCACCCAGAGACTGCAAAGCACGGCAGCCCCTCACGAGGTCGGCCACAGTGCAGCAGCTCGCAGGAGGCGGAGGAAATGCAGTAAGTGCTGCTCGCGCTGCATTCAGCATGCCTGGAGAATGTACAGGACGCCCCGACTTGACCAGCAAACGCAACATCCGAGCAAGAACTGCCCCACACATGACCTGCCGCTGCTGCGAAGGCCCCTTGCCTGGGCGTTGCAGTTCCAGCAACTCGCGTTGCCGCAGGAGCAGCCGCCGCAGCAGTCGCATGCACGAAAGCCACAGAGTTTCCCACTCTTTCAATTCAAGAGCGTCCTCAGCCGGCCTTGCTTGCCGCTGCTGCAGCAGGCGTTCCATTGTGCTGCAAAGCTCCTCTCCTAGAGTCGCGCCCTCGGGAGGCCCTGGGCATTTACACTGCCTAAGTCTCCTACTGCTGTCGCCGGCGATGCCAGTGGTGCTTCTGCTGCTGCCGAAGATGCCAGATTCAGTTGCCTGCCGCAGGGGCTCTCCTGCAGCAGCAGCTGCTGCTGGGGTGGCCCTCGTTCGCGTGCAGTTGGCTACTCCGCGAAGCGAGGCGCACGAAGGGTAGCAGCCAGGGGCGTTGTCAGCTGGCGAAAGGTGGGCACTTCCTGTAGCTGTTGCTATTGCTGTACAGCCCCGACCGCCGTTGCGGCAACGCAGTGGAAAAAATGCATCCCCAACTCGTAACCATCTCCCTGGACGGAACGACGGGCAGAGCATTGTACATGCACGGGCCGTGAAAACTCGCGGCCGCAGCTGACTTTGCTGCGAACCGTACTGTTGCTGCTATGTCGCAGCGGATGCTACAGCTGGCTTTGCAGCCTCTCCACAAGCTTTATCCTCAGCAGCATCATGAGCTGCGACTCATGATGCATGGCAGTATACGCGGCATCTCACAGCAGGGCACCTACGGTTGCAACTGAATCAGGGAAGACTTTAGTACTCTAAAGTGACCAAATAATGTGGTAGGAGGAGATTGGCAGTGGAAACTGGAGAGTGGGCCGCTTCGGCGGGACATTGCCTCACCGATTGCACAACTGGAGCAAACAGGAGAGTTCCCAGGAATTTAAAAAGAATAAATACATTCGATAAAGCCCAAATATATGTCTGCTGCAGATATGCCAGAGTGATGCCGCCACCGACAACCGCAGACACAACCGCATGCCACAGAAGCTTCTTCATCAATTGCCACCCCATGGTTGCGACGAAAGTTCACGTCTTTCTACTTTCTTGAAGTTTTCCGCGTTTATTTGCCTAGAATCGTGCTTGGCCTTACACCCTCTTGCCCCCTGCTGATGCTGCAGTAAGCTGCGTGCACGCACAGCAGCAGCATCTTCCGGCGTGTTGCTTTCTATTTCTCCCTGCTACCTGCTAGCGACTCGAGCTGTATGCCGCAGCAGGTGCTGTTACACTGCTGCTGGTGGAATCCCTCTCGCTGCTGCTGCAGCATCTCGTGATTAACTCTCGAGCCTTGGAGATCAAGTCCACAACCTGTGCGTGTCTGCATTTCGACGGAATTCCTCTTGTGCACGTGCACGCCCCCTTTAGTTACGGTCGAAAAGATGGCAGGCCTGCCCCCGTCGCTTCGGGGGCTTCTCCAGCAGTTCGGGGGATTGGTCGGTCCTGGCAATGGAGCAGACAGCCAGGATCTGCCGGATACATCTGAACAAGTGTACATCTCTTCTCTCGCGCTCCTCAAGATGCTTAAACATGGACGGGTGAGGTGCTGCCAGAGAAGCCTCCGTGCGTTGCTACATTTTGTCTGGCCATTGCCTTTGCAAGGGGGGGAGGGGAGGGGAGGGGACCGGGAAATGAGGCAAGTTCGCGTATTGCATGCCAGCTCCATTGGTGTGCGTCTGTGCCTGTTTCTTGCTGCTGACTCTGTTGTCAAACGAGGCCTGGGGGAAGGGAAACCCTGCGGGTGCTCGTAGGAATAACCGCGCTGGGGTTTCGGGGTTTGAAGGTTGTGTTTTAGGCGGGGGTACCCATGGAGGTGATGGGGTTGATGCTGGGAGAGTTTATTGACGATTACACTGTTCGAGTTGTTGACGTCTTTTCAATGCCGCAATCCGGTCAGTACCAGCTCGCCCTGTATCTGCCTCCGACAACCTTACCGCTTCTCCCTATTGTCTGATGCAGCCTCTCCCCGTTGCCCATTTTTAAGTGCGCTTAATAGCTTTTTCTGTTGCACATAAGTGGTTCTTTTGGGGGTGGCCGGTCCCTTATTGCTAATTTCTTGGTATGCTTCTCAGTCGGTCCATAGGTCGGGTGCACGCTGTTATTTTGTTGTTGGTGCAGGCAACAGCGTGTCTATCGAGGCAGTGGATTACGTTTACCAGACGGAAATGCTAGAACAACTTAAAAGGACCGGCAGGCCGGAGATGGTTGTTGGCTGGTACCACTCTCACCCCGGTTTCGGTTGCTGGTTTTCAGGTATCGTAGTAGCAAACACGCTTCTAATGGCTGATACCGATTTTATGCTTGCTGCTCCCACAATTCATGTTGCTGCAGCTGTTGGTGCTTCTTGTGAGGTTTTGCATGATAAGGTTATGGTCATGCTCCATATGACGGTTCGTTATGCTAATCAGTTTTCCATGTCCTCTTGTGTCGACCAACTGCCTCCTAGTGCCCGCGTCGTAGTGGCGAAAATTCTCCATATTACAGCGCTTTGGCCTTTGATAAGGATATCTCATATCCTGCGCTTGTGTATTTCTCAGGGACCGACGTCAGTACGCAGCAGAGCTTCGAGCAGCTGAACCAGCGAGCAGTTGGAGTAGTGATCGACCCGATACAGTCAGTGAAGGGAAAAGTCGTGATGGACTGCTTCCGACTCATCAACCCCCACCTCGTGATGCTCGGTGAGCTCACACTAATGGCCACTAAAGCAAGGCCTAGCTAAGGAAACAGCTTTTTGAAATAGGCCTGTTCGAGAAGCTATATGCAGCAAAGGAACTATCGGAAACACATGCACGAACAACAGCCTGCATCCAAAGAAACGCGCTGTCCTTCCTTCCTTGGACAATTTTCTTACTCCTCGAGTGACCAATCCAGACCTTTTGACTCTCCTATTGCTTTCTGGGCGTCTTTTTGCTTTACATTTGCGTCCTTGTTCGTCTAACACCCTTCCTTAAGACCACTTCCCGGAATCAATGTCACGTTGTGCAGTCGGTTCGTGAGTCCGTCTACGAAATGCGCCGTCGTTGTGCATGTCTCTGTTTCCAATGCCTCAATGCTTGCTTGTTCCCCACCTCTATATGCTGCATTGGGCGTTGCTGTTGCACGTAGGCCAAGAGCCCCGTCAGACAACTTCTAATATTGGCCATCTGCAGCGTCCTACCATCACTGCCTTGGTTCACGGACTCAACAGGAACTACTATTCGATTGCAATCAACTGCAGGAAAGGAGAGCTAGAACATCAGATGCTCACGAATCTTCACAAAAACAAATGGAATGATGCCCTTAAGCTGCAGGTATGAGGAAAAGAAGTGGGGGAAGGGGGATAGGTGGGAAGAAGTAGAGGCCACGACTGACTCTTACGGAAGGAAGAGGGGGGAAAGGAGCAGAGGTCAGGACAGAATCTTTGTCTAACTTTCCTGGTAGAAGCTTTCAGGGTCCTAGGAGGTGCTGTAAGCATCACTGCCGCTTTTTCTGATGTCCCGGCAGAAAGGCATGCTGGTATGCATATGCGCGGCTTGTGGTCATGCACCCAGAATTTTGAGGATCATCATCGTGAGAGAGAAGAGGCTGTCGCTTCATTAAAGTCTCTAAGTGCTAAGTACACTACCATGATAGAAGAAGAAATCAAAAAGAAGCCCGAGCAGCTACTCGTGGACCGAGCCGGGCAAGTCGATGCCAAAATGAGGCTCCAGACGACCCTAGACACGCTGGTAACAGACACACTGCTCCAGTCTCTGGGTAGCATGATATCGACACTCGTCTTTTAAACCGCAAGGTCTACTCCACGTGCCAGGGTTTTAGAGAGGACCAGCACAACTGCGGAAAGCTGGCCCTTTTAAGGAGGGAAGAAACATACCCAGGCATACAGACACATACAGCCCTGAACTGGAGAACATTCCCAATGTTGGAGTCCCTGAGGGGCTGCCATTTTTCCTCAATCAAGGATGCTTGTTGTGGGTTAAAGGGGGTTAGGTCTCTGATAGGGACTTTCCCTAAAGAAACCCTTACCCGCTGTACCTTGCTGTAGCTTTCGGGGCAACGGCGTAACTTTAAAACCTTAGACCATGGGCATAGATTGTAGACAACCCTAGTAGCTCGAAAAAATGACAAGCACAGTTGGAGCACTCTGTGTTTTAATTTTCCAAGTTCCAGATATGATTTTAAGCGCGAAGCTCACACTTCGTACCAGACGGCAGCGACCGGACGGTCGCTACAATACTTTGATTGACTAGTGGGTACGTGAACAGCTGCTCGGACGCCTATGAAAGCACAAATCGAACAATTCGAAGTGTCTTGAGAGGATCGATGTGCTCTTCAAGGCGTTTTTCACGGAGAACCTGCCGAGACAATATTGAAATGCGGTAGTGGGAAAAGCAAGACTTTGGCAATAGAGAAAAACAAGCATTTCGCCATCATTTCGTCGGATGGGTTCCCCTCTGTTTGTCTAAAGACACGAAAAAATGCCTGCACTGTGTTACAGATGAGAAATCAATAGCACCCTTCGTAGGTAGCGGTGCACTCTAATAGAAGCTTAGCCGCCCCTATCCCCCGTTTTCTGTCTCCAGGTATCCTCCTCGCTGCCTACCCATATGGCGCACATCTGGGGGGCTTCTTCTGGCATTTCTGTGCCTCGGATACTCATTTACTTGATTTTATGTAGTCCGCTTTCTCCTTATTTCTGCAATACCAGTTTCTGTCCGAGGGAAGGAATGCGGTGCCTTTGCCACTCTTCCAGCCTCATTCCTTTGCCGACCCACGAGGGGCTCTATGCCTTCTGCAGCTGCTCTACAGTGCCTAATCTTCTCGTCACTTGCCTTGCAGACGATTGTCACAACGCATCTATGATGTAGCGTCATGCAATAACCACTGCTCGCCCTTAGGCCCCGTGAGTGAGCCCTTTGGGAGCCTCGTTCGTGCACTTAAGTTTTAGAGTTCTTCTGTGTCACTGGGAGCGGACAGGTGATCAGTTGGAAATGGACCTCTATGTTCAATTGCATGCCGAGCCGACCACAGCAAGTAAGATGCCTTCTGCCTGTATTGCTTTTTCCTATTTGTACAGTTGTTTTCTTACTTTCTGCCACACACTGTGCCCCCACATCTAATGTTGCTTCGGTGTACGTAACACACGCGCGAAATTCAATTCTCTCATCTCTGCCACTGTATATCCAACTCTCCCAAGCTTTGTTCTCTTCACTATCACATGCTTCCACAAAAAACTGAGATACCGCATCCTGGTACCGCATACCCCTCTATTGTCTCTCATAGATACTTCTGGCTGCTGCTCGGATTATTTTGTGCAGCGAAATGGAGCGCAACCAAAGTGACTTTGCGGTCTGCTACTTCAGAGAGGCTGTGTCTGCATCTAGCACCTCGCTCGATCGCAACAAAACAGCATCCACGCTTGCACCATACCCCTTGCTCTTGTTGCCCCTGCCCCCTCCCAATATCAATGACAGCAGCAAGAGCAGCAGCTCCGTCAACGGTGACGTTAGCTGCATTTGCACGCATATGATTGCTGCTATTGTGTCGCAGTCTCTGAGAGGTGCATGCCTCTTTGATAAATTGTGCAGTCTGCTGCTCACGGGGTTCGTCGCAAGCTTGGCAACGCACTATTCCATGTGTAAAACAAATAACAGACACCACAAACTAAGCTCATGCCTTGGCGATCCATGTAATTGTACAGGCAACTCGGCTGATTCAGTTGTCATGTTCCTCTGGATGTTAATGCATTAATTGTTGCTGATGTGCTGCAAGTCGCAGTGTTGCCGAATGGCCGTAACCTATGTGGCATCCACAGTGCTACCTTATTCAACACAAAAACTACATCCATATATGCGCAACTCTTTTCACGCGTGATGCATGCACCGGAACGCCAGTGCAGCTGTACGCCAACATGCAAGTATATTTAGTCCTATGTGTAGATATATACATGTGTGTGAAGGGGCTCCACATTCTTGGCGGTGTACGTTTGTAAATAATTGCTGAGTTCCTGGGCGGTATTCGCGTTTCTGCTAGATCTGCACTCGGCCGAATTTCGGGATTCTCTCCGTTGACATGACATGCATTGGTGTGCACACTGCGGAGGGGAGATGTTAAGACCACAATGCTAATACAAGCAACGACCTCTACGGAAGCAAACGCGCGCTAACCCTTAGCGACAACCACAGCTGATATCTAATACAGAAGCTCTAGAGGATCCAAATGGGTGCAACTCCACGCCATTGACATCTACTTTTCCCATGAATCCAAGGGAGGCAGATGCAGAAAACGCATGAATACAATGGCTTTGGGAGGTGAGCAGCAGTTACAGCTTGTACGTGATTACTTATCTGTGCAACACACGGCCGACACCTCTGGCAAGCCCATGGTGACAGGAGTACATTAACCCTATACAATAAGAACTTCAGTACTATATTTTTACTCCCCCTTACCTGCTTTCGCAAGAAGCAAACTGCTTGACTGAAAATTTTGCTGGCCGGTAGAACCTATGTTATCTACGCCTGAACCGTGGTGTCTCGAAAAGGCAACTTGTACCTCTCCGTACCGCTCAAGACGTCATGACAAGAAACTGAAAGCCTCACTCTGTGTAACAAGCATATCTCAGCGAAGGAATCACTTTGTTAATGAAATTCTTTCTCGCTCACCTAAAACTACCAGCCCTCCATTGTCTCTGCACCTTCTTGTTAGAACCCATGTATCTGCTCATTTTCCTATATTTTCGATACTCATTCTTCAACTGCGCATCGGTATGCCACTTTTTCGCGACGGGATCAACGACAGCAAATAGACGGCGGGGGTCATCCGTTCCTTCTCTCACAAGGCCCGCTTTAAGGAAGAATCAAAAGGAAATAGACCAGTTTGCGTGCCGAGAGGCGCAAAAATGTGGGTTGGACCTCGTTTATCGCTACCACTAGCTGATGAACCCAGGGGGTGTACTTATTTGCATGCAGAGATAGTGCGATAGACACCGACAACGCCCTAATGGGAAGAACCTCCATAAAACGCGCTGAAGGGCACGTGCATTAATATTTGCTTGCGTACGCACGTACACTCGTATACTGATAATATGTTCTCCGTAGTTAACGCGGTTAGCCCTATCCACGCCACACAATTGTGTACACTTGTACTGTATCATTTTCGAAAAGCACAGCATAGGATGAACCCACCAAGGAATGCAATGTGATGCAGGCCTGCCTATCAACGTACCCCGAGAGTCAAGTCCCCTACTGCACCCTGGGTACTCCTCGCTAATACTAGGACAGAGAGTCCCTCGCACTCAAAGTGCAGTTTTTGAAAACGCCACTTTCTACCAACAACGCAAAGCCCTGACTCAACAACCATCGCTCCTCTCTAATTGGGCTTATGGAGAAAGCCTAAGCCAAGTTGCTCTTGCCTATATGTAGAGGCTACTACAACGACACAGCTTACCCTACCTCTACACCCACACGCTCTACCGGCCCTTTAAAAAGCTGTTAACCCCTTTATGCCTCATCTTCATTTGAAAGAAAAGCTCAAAGGATCAGGTCCATGCTACTGAAGAATTCTTGTGGGTGGCCTACCCAGCATCGAGCGGCAGCAGCCACCCACTGCCCCTCGAGGTGCCTGACACGCCGAAGGAGGCTGCCAAGCAGCAGTCCAGCCAGCCGTCCGCCAGGTATGCCGTGCAAGTCTTTATCTTTACGACTTTTTCTTCGCAACACCGACGGTTCTGCCGTGTCTGCCGGTTGTCTTGGTATGCTGACCCCTCACCTTAAGACCCCAGTAGTGCCTCAACCCCCTGTGGAGACGCATCTTCTTTAGGCGCTCAAAGTCCTCACGCCAAACAGAGTCAAGATTGTTGGCAGACACATGGCGCGACTTGCCGTCCTTCACGTCCTTTTGCCTGTTGAGAAACCAGGAAGGAATGCTAAACTGCGTGGGACTCGCGACGATAGCAACGATCTAAGACACAACACACGCACAAACAAAGAGCCTTCAATGATTAAAGGACCACAAATGCAACCAATGGCAGAGCTTCATCTCCCAAGAAGGCAGGAGGCCGTACAACATGCACTCCAGCGCAGTTAGAGAGCGGGGGTAAATGGCAGGGCCCACAAGAAACATGGAGAACATATTCGCATATAACATACAATTGTGCATCCGCAGCTTCACGCCGCACACACCGAGATGCTAAATTACCCGCATCTAGGCACACGCACTCTCCAAAAGCAGCGCTCCGACAAACAACTGCACAGATTCCAAGTTTACCGCTGCCAAGATTACACAATCGGCACAAACAGCCTATGGGGAAACTCTCCGAAAAAAAATGTTGCAAAAAAAGTGGTGCAAGAAAGCCCGTATTCCACAGCGACTCACATAAAAGGCACAAAATAATAGTACCCTCTAAAGGCATATGGTGACATGGAGAGGCCAGCAACAGTTACAGACCGAACAGAAGCTAGCAGCAGCTGGGGAAAGGTAACACCGCTATGGGGAAGCCACCCGTTCAAGCGGTTTCAGCCTAAGGCAATTATGCCCAGGTCCCAAGGGCCCCTCAAGGTGGAGCTGGAGCCGAGCCATAGGAAACTACAGAGATGTAAGAGAACGAGTATGGGGCAATAATTATATAATATGATCGATATAGACAGACACAGAGAGAACCGAAGGTTGGGGACTCGTGGAAGCGGGGAGCAGCAGCCAATACCTTGCTGATTTCGTGAGCTGTAAGTTCACCAGCCCTCTTGTCGGTGTCGATGTCTGCCTTCTTGCAGATGAGAGAACTGATACGCCGTCCAATGCCGCGGATGGCGGTGAGGGCAATCACCACTTTCTCTCGGCCATCTACGTTGGTGTTCAGCACACGAAGAATGTGCTGGAAGTCTGTCATGTTCGCGGCGCGGAGAGACATTTTCAGGAACAAGTTACAGCGCCACGCGGGGAGACCCACCAGAAATGAACTTCGAGGTGGACACGACAGAATTCGAGGGGAACCGCAAATACAAGAGCCCCTACGTGGTAGGGGCTTTCCCCGCATGGGGGCTCCCCACAGGTACGTGCACGGCACAGGTACGCTTGTAAACTAGAATAAAGCAGGTAGCTCTGAATTATACTGCAGCAGGGAAAATAAAATAATAAAAGTGTTTTGGTGAATTTTGAAGGGACAATGCTTGGGGTTGAAGAAATGCATATTTCCCTAATTCGCCAGAGAACATGTAGGATGCATGCTACACGAAATGGCATCATAAGGAGCCCCTGGCTGGGTGAGCGGTCCACATTCATTGCTTCACATCCCGGTCTTTTGTGTGTACCACTGTTGATCAACTTATCTGCCCTTTCTTTCTGATTGATCTGACTTATTTGCTCTTGTAACACTAAATTGGGGGCACCGCCCTTCTCATCCTTCTTTATTATCTACTGTTCTCCACGGCTAGTCACGGCACGACTCATTCAGTGTGCCCTTGTCCACTTTTCTTAATTTGCCTACTCATTTGGCCTGAACTGCAAAAAATATGCAGGCTCTTAAACGACAAAGATTCATTTTGTGACCGTGACACTGCTAATTCTGAGGCTGCTCCCAGCGTGCCTTCTGGGTGTGAACTTTGAAGTTATGCGAAGACGCCCGATGCGCTAAGCCCTAAGAGTTCCCATAACCGTTTCGCTGGCCGAGCCGCCATGGTCTTAGGATGGATACTATGGGCAGTGCTAGGACTCACTTTTGCTATCACTGCTATAACGCTTATTTCCACCACCTGTCTAGGCGAGCGGCTTTGTCATTGTATCCTGTGGCCTTTTGCTGCTCTGTACAATCTAGTAACTGGCAAGCAGCTATTCCCGTGGATTGGCGTTAACCGAAACTTTACCGGGACCAGCGCCCCATATGAACTCACAGATATTCCAACTAGGCTCCCTGGGGACTCTCCGGCGCCAACGCCTGATGTCTCATTCGAAGCGTGTGTGGATGCTAATCTGAGCCCTTCTGAGCCTGTGTTACATCAAATCGTCGTGGATCCCATCGTCGCGTCACTTCCTGGACGTCTCTTGACGGTGGCTCCCGCCACGGACACCGATGACTGCTGTGGGACTGCGTTTCATCATACACCTGCAGCGCTCGAGCTCAGTGCCGCTTTACCCGAAGTTGAGACCGCGGACAACACACCATGCATGTCTGTTATTGCATCCTGGAGCGGGGAGGCGGCTTTCGCGATTTTCCACAGCGTTTCGCTTTTATTCGGATGCCTGTTGTACTCTTTTTGTAAAGACTTTACTAGAAAAGTGAGTGACGTAAATGAAGGGGCTGTGGAACCGTCAGCTGAAATACAGAAGGTCTATTCTGCTTCCATTGAATTTCCCGCTACGGAATCCCCTGCAATCTGTGAAGCCTTCACTAACGCGGACCATCAGACTTCCCCTTCCCTCCTCATGGAGCATTTCGGAGGCCTCGCCTGCGACGCTTACTCGGTAGACGCTGGTGGTTCCGCCTCAGCCCTTTCCCCTTCGCCCCGTGGCATCATGTGTAACGGTGCCGATGAAGTTGTTGCTTCTTCCGTATCTTTGCATGTTCCCTCCTGTGTGCCTGACGCTGATTGTGCCCCCGGTCTTGCTGATGGCGATGCCAATTCTGTGTTCTTACATGTTAACGACCCTTCTGACGCACCTCTTGCCACCGCTACCATTTGCCATGAGTGCACACATCTTTCCGTTCAGCTAGCGGATTGTCCACTAGCGCCACTTGCTGGGGTTCCTCTGCAACCGCCCCCACTTAGCAGCCACTAGGGCTCTTTAGTAGCCCCTGCTTCTTTTGTGTTTGCAAAGAATTTATCGAATGTGACGAGCGACTAGATCTGATTTTTTTGTTCATTGTTTTCTTCCGTCCCTCAAGCGGGCGAGCTCACTATCACGCTCCATTCAAGGTTTCCGTAAGAGACTGGAACTTCAGGCTTCATACAATCTAATAAAAGCTTCATTTGAAAGTGCTTCTGAAAAGAACTCTTGACTTCCCCTTCCCACACCCGTTAAATTCTCGGCATGAGGAGAGGAGCTTGTTAGCCCCCCCCCCTAGGCACTCCGCCGGTTCACTGCTAGATGCACATCGCATCTTGATCAAACACGCACAACATTGCGCCTGCTTTTATTGAGCTAACACTACTCTTCCAGAAAGAACGACACGAACTGACGAACCTAAAAGTGAACCTCCACCAGTTCTCAGTTGATATTGCTATTGCAGTATGCAGGTGCAAATGTAGCTTAGTTCACCTACTTCTTTAACCCCCTTCTCGTCATTTCACTGTTCCCAACCTGTTCCTCGATACCAACTGCGTGTAGGACAGTGAAAGAAGGTCCGCACTATTGCCACTCTCCAGGCA